TTATGACTGGATATTGACTTTTATCTGCGACATTTCTGCATCTACCAAGATGATTATAGGATTTTATTCCTTTGTATTGTTAATGAAGTAAATTCTAATGTTGAATTTTGAGTGCCAAACCAACACTTGCTTTTAGATAATTAACCCAATATGCTGTTTATTTATTGCAATTTTCACTTTGCTAATTTATTTTAAGTCTTTTGTATCTATAGTCATAAAATATTGGCCTGTAATTTTTCTTTCTTGGAATGATCTTGTCCAATTTTGTTATCTAAGTTGTGCCTTTTCTATAAAATATATGGAAACTTGTCTTGCTTTCTTTCTAATATCAAGAAAACTCGTGTAAAATTAGTTAATTTTACCAGAGCATGTTATATTTTTCCACGTAAGGCTACTGGCCTTGAGTTTTTTGGTGAGTAAGTTTTAATTATGAATTCAAAATCTTTAAGAGTTATAAAATCATTCAAATTTTCTATTTCTTTTTGTGGAAATTTTTCTAGGAATTTGGTCATATCATCTCAATTTTCAAATTAATTAGCATAAAATTTTACTAAGAGCTTCTTCTTTTTATCCTTCCAATGTCTATAACACCTGCAACAAAGTACCCTTTTTCCTCCTATTATTTATTTTTTTGTGCCTTTACCTACTTTTGTGATCAATATTAATAGTTTTTAAAGGTCTTTTCAAGTGACCAAACTACTGTTAGATCAACCATCTCTATTGTATTTTTTTGTCTATTTTATTGATATTTGCTCTTATATTTATTCTTTTCTTATTTACTCTTTTCTTGCTTCTATGTTCTTTAGGTTGACCTTGATTTTTTTAAACTTAAAATTGATGAGCTCATGATTTTTAACCTTCTTTTCTTACACATTATAGGCAAGGAATTTCCTTCTAAACACAAAGTTAGTGGCATCCCATCAGCTATTTAAACACAGAGTTTTGGTTTGGAGTATTTTTATTATTATCATATTCAAAATATTTTATTTCTCTTGTGATTTTCTTTGATCCGTGCCTTAATAGACTTGCAATTATTGATTTCTAAGCACATGAAGATTATCAAGTTTTCTTAGTCCTATCCTCATTTGGCAAGCTCTGGGCCTTAATTTTTATAGCCACTTAACCTTTGAAGACTTTCAAAAGCATTACTCAGTTTCTCAGTCTCTTGGCTTCCTTATGATAAATTGGCATTTATCCCTCTGGGAAAAGTAGTTCTAAATAAAAGGTCACATTTATGAGGGTTTTTTTGTGTTTTGTTTTTTTTTTCCTTTGAGATCTTGGTCTTCTAATTTTTACTGCCTCTTCAGCTCTTAAAAGCATTATATGTTCAATTTTTCTAGTTGCTCTCAGGAGGACTATTCAGAATTACCAAAATTGGAAGTTAAGACACCCATTACTTTTAGCATTTAATTTGTAAGTGCAGATATCAAATAAAATATTTTATTTAGATTCTCCAAAAATATTTGAATTACCCAAAGTGCAGATTACATGCCATGGATGAAGAAACTTCAACAAATATCCTTTCATATAAGTGATATCAACTCTATTAAAGATTTAACTTTATGAAACTAACCTTCAATAGCCTTTTCAGTCAATTTTTTGTTCCATTTTTTGTATGCAGATCTTTCCGTCTTTAGCTATCATTTTGTTCATATTTTATTATTTTTTTCAATAGGTCATTTTGTCCAGGATGTTGCCATGTAGATTTAAAAATATTTTCTTATGCTTTATCTTTTAAAAGTCAAGTGAATGTTTTTCTTGAAGCAGTAAATATCTGAAATACATTATAATTGCTTTTGAAAAATGTATATTAGATATCAGAGGTTAGCCTGTTCTGAGTATATTACATCAGGAAAATAGCTCAGGACACAGCCAAAGGGTATATTTGAACTACACTGAAAATTTAGATATTACACTGTGAAAAATAATGATTGGCATAAAAATCTGCCTTATAGTATAATTAATTGAATCCTGTTAAGTCATTCACATATTGATGGATCTACACAAATCCAGTATTATATCTCCTTGATTTATTTTTAATATTAGCATAAGCCTAGTTTCTTTTTTTAATAAATCTTTATTGTTCAGATTATTACAGTTGTTCCTCCCCCCCCCCCCATAGCTCCCCTCTACCCAGTTCCCACCCCACCCTCTGCCCTTACCCCACCTACTGTCCTCATCCATAGGTGGAAGATTTTTGTCCAGTCTCTTCCCACACCCCCCACACCGCTTTTCCCCCTGAGAATTATCAGTCCACTCCCTTTCTATGCCCTGATTCTATTATATTCACTAGTTTACTCTGTTCATCAGATTTTTTATTCACTTGATTTTTAGATTCACTTGTTGATAGATATGTATTTGTTGTTCATAATTTTTATCTTTACCTTTTCCTTCTTCCTCTTCTTAAAGAATAGCCTAATTTCTTTTAAAAGTACTATTAATTTTATATAAAACATATATTAATTCAATAAATATTTACCTACCTGATAAGGGACAGAAACTGTTCCTATATCAGAAACTATATAATAAAGGGGAAAAAATAAACAAAAAGATATAATATATGGAAAGATATGATTTTTTTAAAAGATAAGGATATTGCCAAGAAACCAGAAATACCAATCAGAAAGGATATATGCACCCCTATATTCATAGCAGCACAATTTACAATAGCTAAGATTTGGAAATAGCCTAAGTGCCCATCAGCAGATGAGTGGATTAAAAACCTGTGGTATATCTACACAATGGAATACTACGCTGTGGTAAAAAAGAAGGAATTCTTACCATTTGCAACAGCATGGATGGAACTGGAGAGCATTATGCTAAGCGAAATAAGCCAGTTGGAGAAAGATAAATATCACATGATCTCACTCATATGTGGGATATAATGATCAACATAAACTAATGAACAAAAATAGATCCAGAAACAAATGGCAGGGGAGTTGGGAGGGTTGGATTAGAAAGCAACCAAAGAACTTGTATGCATGAATATTAGCATAACCAATTGACACAGACACTGGGGCAGTGGGGGCTTGCCTGGGGTGGGAAAAGGAGACATATGTAAAACTTTATACAATAATAAAAAAATAAAAATAAATAAATGATAAGGAGATTGCAAGTATGGGGCTGTGGGGAGTTATTTTCAATATATTGGTAATAAAGTGTTTGTGAGGAAGTATTATTTGAGCAGAAACTTCAATAAATTGAATGGAAAAGTCATTTTAAAATTAAAAAGATAATTCCTTGCATAAAACATTGCAAGTGCAAGGGTCCTATGACAGAATTCAACATAGAAGAATTGCAAGAAGGTTATCAAGATAGTGGAATAAGATATAAGGTCAGGAAGTTGACCTTACTAGTATATTAGGTCATGTAGGCACTGGTATGCTTTGATAGAGATTTTGAATTTTTTTTTTCTTTTCAAGAGTGATGGCAATCCACTGGGGAATTGATCAGGGGAATACTATGATCACATTCTCATTTTTAAAGTATATGGAAGGAGACTTGACTTGGGGGAGTCAGCATACAATACCATGTACAAATGATGTGTTATATAATTGTGCACCTGAAACCTGTATAATTTTGTTAACCAGTGTCACTCCAATAAGTTCAATTAAATATATATGTATATTTTTAAATGTGCACCATGGTGATAGAATTGGGAGTGGTAGTTCCCAGGATGTAAATGGTGAATCATTTAAATGGTTTAGCAGTACAGTCAAAGAAAATGTGATAGAACTGGAATTGATGAGATGAGGTAGAATTTGGTATGTAATTTGAAGGTAAAGGTGACTGGACTTGCTACTGGATGGGATGTTGGAAAATTCCTAAGTATTTGGTCTAAGCAAGAGAGTGAAGGATGGTGCTATTCCTTGAGACAGTATGGACTGCAGTGTGATTTTAGGAGTGAAAATAAAGTGTTTTGTTTTAAATGTAATGTCTAAAATATCCATTAGATTCCAAGTGAAAATCATGTAAACATTTGTCTATAGCTTTCTAGAGCAGCGGTTCTCAACCTGTGGGTCGCGACCCCTTTGGGGGTCGAATGACCCTTTCAAAGGGGTCGCCTGAGACCATCGGAAAACACATATATAATTACATATTGTTTTTGTGATTAATCACTATGCTTTATTATGTTCAACCTGTGACAATGAAAATACATCCTGCATATCAGATATTTACGTTATGATTCATAACAGTAGCAAAATTACAGTTATGAAATAGCAATGAAAATAATTTTATGGTTGGGGGTCACCACAACATGAGGAACTGTATTAAAGGGTTGTGGCATTAGAAAGGTTGAGAACCACCGTTCTAGAGAGAGTGGAGCTTGAGTGTTATCAAAGTTTACTGTGATGATATTCAAAGTCAGGGGACTTGAGATTAGTTGAAGTGGAAATGTAGACAGAGAACAGGTGAAATCTAGAGACAAAGCCCAAAGGCACTCCAACGTTTAGAAGATAGGAAGATTCTACAAGATCATAAAGAGTAACTAGTCAAGTAGGAGAACAAACCATATGCGATGCTGCTGAAGCCAATACTAATATATGTGATCCCAAGATCATTGGTAACCTATGATCCTAGGGAACTTAACAATAAAAAAGATTTGATATTACTTATTGAACTAGAAGTCTAAAAAAGTTGTATTAAACAGAAGCATAATAGTATTTATATCACCTAACTAGTGAATAATTAAGTGTATATCTGGTTATAATAAGAGGATAATTAATTCTAGGGTTGAACAAAAAGATGGAAGGAATATCATTTAAACATATTATATTAAATGTTTATCATGCTTCTTTTTGACTGGGTCACACATAGTCTCATAAAAGAGAATTAAATATGAAGTAATGAACATAAGCAAAATACTGAGATCTTTGCTGATGTTATGTGCAAAGATTTCTCACTACTTAAGAATTAACTTGATATTGAATGTGTATGACCTCAGAATTCTCAATAAATACTTGCTGATGTTCTCTTATTCTCTTTGCTTCTTTCCACAGGTGGGGAGGTTCCATACACAACTCTGGCTACCCGAATGATGATGGGGGCTTGGTGGCTATTTGCTTTGATTGTCATCTCATCTTACACAGCAAACCTTGCTGCTTTCCTCACTATCACCCGCATTGAAAGCTCCATCCAGTAAGTAGACAAAGATTCCAGCAGCCATAAAGCATGATAAATGACAGGAGTGCCAAAGCATTTAATACATACATGGCTTCTGATAATGAATTTTTGACTTCTTTTTGAGTAAAGGATTAATTTTGTGATATATAGATATCAGAGGATAGTCCTACTCCCAAAAATATAGAATTAGTAGAGGTTTTTTACAAAATAAAATTATGGGAATAATTTGACCATTGCCACCCACATTTTCCTGAAAGGATAACAGATATTCAGAATTTTAAACTCCAAAATATATGACTATATCTGGGCAACACTGTAAAAATGAAGGAACAAGGAGTAATACTAATATATATATACTTGATATATATATCAAGTTTAACACCATCAATCTTTGCCTTGAGTCTGTCTCATTATTCACAGTCTGAGTAAACAGACAAACATTAGATGACTAATTGATAGATTGATGATAAGTAGAGAGAGAGATGGAGTAAGGGGGAGGAGAGAGGAAGAGAGAGAAACTATCCAGATATAAAACAACTTTGTATTTATTTCTTCATTGCATTATACCTAACTAGAGGCCTGGTGCACAAAATTCATGCACTCAGAGGGGGTCCCTCAGCCCAGCCTGTGCCCTCTCGCAGTTCTGAAGCCCTCGGGGGATGTCTGACTGATAGCGTAGGCCTGCTCACTTGGGCCAGCTTAAGCCATCAGTCAGACATCCTTAGCACTGCTGTGGAGGCGGGATAGGCTCCTGCCATTGCCACTGCACTCTCCAGCCGTGAGCCTGGCTTCTGGCGGAGTGGTGCTGCCCCTGTGGGAGTACACTGACCACCAGGGGGCAGCTCCTGTATTGAGTGTCTGCCCCCTGAGGGTCAGTGCACATCATAGCAACCAGTTGTTCTGCTATTAGGTCGATTTGCATATTAACCTTTTATTATATAGGATATGGCCATTAAAACTGCTCTTTTCCCAGCTATAATTGTGGTAAATTGTCATTAACTATGATGCACTCACTTAAATCCTAAAAGTTACCTAAGTCAATGTTCTATATATTATTTTAACAAAATTTCCCTGAAAATGTTTTATTCATTCAAAGACAAGGTAGTTTAACTTTTCCTAAGTTGAAGAGCATTAATTTCTCAACAAAACCAACAATTCAAAATTAGAATAATCAGATTGATCAAGGAATTCATGGGGATTTAAGTTATTTTTAAAATAAAACATATGAGTTCTTATCTTAAAAATATGTAAATGAAGTCTATTAGTCACAAACTATTATGTAATATAGACAATAATAAAAATAAAGTAGAGAATTATTGATCTCTAAAGAACTAAGAAAGGTATTTTAATTGCTTGTGGTATACAAAATTAAATCCCAAAGTCAACTAATAATGACAATAGACGGTAAATTTTTTCATCCATTTACAAAAATGGTATTTCCAACTTCTCTCATAAATTCATGCTCCTCAAGTTGTTTTCACATTATATCTTTGATGCAAAATCTCATACTCTAAATTTATTATCCTTATGGCCAGTTCTATATGTGACATCTATGTATACAAAAGCCTAAATGACCATTAACGGGGAATAACTGGAAAGACTTGTCACTGTGATGCACACTGAGCAGGCAGGCAGGCAAGCGGTGAGGGGTGAGCAGGCAGGCAGGTGAGCAGTTAGGGGCAAGCAGGCAGGCAGGTGAGCAGTTAGGGGTGAGCAGGCAGGCAGGCAAGTGAGCAGTTAGGGGCAAGTGGTCCCGGATTGCGAGAGGGATGTCCGACTGCCAGATGTCCGACTGCAGGGACTGGGCCTAAACTGGCAGTCAGACATCCCCTGAGGAGTCCTGAATTGTGAGAGGGTGCAGGCCAGGCTGAAGGACACCCCCAGCCCATGCACGAATTTCATGCACCAAGCCTCTAGTAAGTTAGAGAACTGATGATCCCATCAAAATCATATTTTTTAAATACGTGTGTGTGTGTGTGTGTGTGTATACATAAACTGATGATCCCATCAGAATCATATTTTTTAAATATATATAAAAGATTTGCGCAATAGGACTTCCTTCCCTTGGCTGCCAGAACCGGTTTTCCTCTGGCACCCGGGACCCAGGCCTTTGGTCCTGCCGCATCAGAGATGCCAAGCCTCGAGGCTAGGCTTCTCCCCTCCAGCCTCAGTGAGGCTTGGCTTCTCCGCTGAGGCCGCAGCGGAGAAGCCAAACCTCTTCAGTCTTCAGTCTTCAGTCTTCACTCGGGCCGGAGCCTTCAGTCTTTGCTCCAAGCCTGTGTATGCAAATTAACTACCATCTTTGTTGGGTTAATTTGCATACTCATCTGATTGGCTGGTGGGTGTAGCGGAGTGACACCAATTTGCATGTTTCTCTTTTATTAGTGTAGACATATGTAAATTTTTATTTCAGAGAGAAAGGGAGAGGGGCAGAGAGAGAGAAACATCAATGATGAGAAAGAATCATTGGTTGGTTACCTTCTGCATGCCCCACACTAGAGATTGAACCCACAACCTAGGCATGTGCCCTGACTGGGAATCAAACCATGATCCTCCTGTTCATAGGTCAATGCTCAACCACTGAGCCATGCCAACCAGGCCAGAATCATATTTTAAACAATAATGAAATGTATTACAACACCCAGCCAAGAAATCAATGATATTAGTAAAATTATGAAAATAATAATTGCTATTTATTTAACATTCCCAAGATGCCAGGCTGTGCTAAATGTTTAACATGCATTGGCTCATTTAATATTTACAACCATCTTCTGAACTACATGCTGTTAATAACCTATTTTACAACTGAAGTTGAAAAGATAAGTAACTTGAACTAAATCAGGCAGCTAATAAATTATTAATTAAAGATCAAACCTAAAACCTTTCTGATTCTAAAGCTTATGTTTTAAATGTACCACACCAGTTCCCATCCCACGCCTTAGCAGCGGTTCTCAACCTGTGGGTCGCGACCCCTTTGGCAGTTGAACAATTCTTTCACAGGGGTCGCCTAAGGCCATCCTGCATATCAGATATTTACATTACGATTCATAACAGTAGCAACATTACAGTTATGAAGTAGCAACGAAAATAATTTTATGGTTGGGTCACAACATGAGGAACTGTATTTAAAGGGCCAGAAGGTTGAGAACCATTGCATAGGATGGGCCAGTTGTTTTTAAAGAATATCATTAAGGTTGTGCCATAGACATATTTATTTCTAAGTATAGGGATATAAATGATTGCATTCTTAAATCCACAATTGGTCTGAGGAAATAGAGTACTGAAAGTTAGGAGATTTTTGTGTTGGGCCAATTTTATGGGCATACACCCCAACATGAGCAGATTATATTTATAATTGATATCTGCCATTCAAGGTAAGATTGCTTGGTAGATCCAATAATAGAAATCACACTAAGAATCATAATTTTAAAACTTTAAATAGAGTATTTCATCTCACCAATATATTGCATATCAATTATGTTTAGTTTGTCATATTTTGAGTGTACCTAAAACTAAAAACCTATAGCTCAGATCTGATTTTGAAGCACTTTTAAATAAGTGAAGAAAATTTTAAATAAAGTAATTGATTTTATACAGTAAATGACAATAATAATAAACAAAAGTTATAGTTAAGATTCACTGGTAATTTACCATGAATTTATTAAGCATATATTTTTCCCATTTATTCCTTAAAATAACTAATAATACAGATACTATTTTTATTGCAAAAGAAACAAACATCAGAAGTTAAATGCTCAAGATCACATCGTCAGTAGTGTCAGAGGTGGAAATCTAACCCATATCAATTCAATACTAATCCATAGCCATACCTACTGAACTTTTTCCTTATCTAGTTGTTCTGACAATGTGTTTGCTTGAGTCACTGCTTCATTGAGGTTGTAAACCTCATGGTGCGTGCACGTATATGTACTAGTTAGTCATTACTAACTTTGCCAGCGTTAGTTTGTATTTAGACTTTCATGCAATCGCAGCGGGAGCAAAAGCCTCTATCAGATTTTTGCACCCAAGTGGGTTTTTCTAAGAATAAACCTAATGGGGAAAAATCGTAATTTCACATGATGTTTTCCTCAAGTGTAGTTTCATAGTTTAAGATAAGTGATTATTCATTTTTTAAAAACATTTCTTTCTAATGCTACTCACATTATTAAAAGTCAACAGTGGGTATGGTAAATCTTTCCTTCCTTCTAATCTTATCACTAGACTAATTTTAAAAGGGGGAAATCAAAGCCAAATAAATTAAAGAAGATTCTCTTCCCCAACTTGAAGGCATCTTCTAATTTCATGCCTCAGCTGTTTTGGTAAACATAATTGCTTTCAATGTTTCTTGGAAACATTCAAAGTTCCATCTGCATCTAATGTTGAATTTTCTTGGAAAATTGTTAAGTGTGATTTTTCTTAGAAAAGACAAAAACTTTTTTTATGATACCATTCAATGTCATGCTTCCTAATCATTTATAGTCATAAGATTTGCCCTTCACTAAATGAAGCAATACTTGCCAGTGTACCTTTTTCCAGCCCAATTTTGCTCTGCAATCAGCACACATACACAAACTACATTTTCATCCCCCAAATTCAAAGTCATTTTTCCAGACTAGAAGAGATAGAGGTGATCACAGAGACGTGAGTGAGTGGAGGAGGAAAGCAGCTACTTTTGAACAGTTGGTTGACAGAAAGCCATAGTTTGCTGGGAGCAATTCAATTTATCTATTCTTGGGAAGCTTAATACATTTTATAAAATGTACCCCTTTTGCAAAATTAGATCTTTATTGGCATCTACCCTTCTGGTTGACATTTGTCATTAAAGAAGTTTTGAAGGTGTATTTTCCCTGAAAAAGAGAACTCAAGTTTAATTTCATATCCCTTCAATGATAGGGGCAGCTCAACATAACTATGACAGATTGTGACCGTTGGGGATGGGTAGTATTGGGTGCCCAGTTCAGTTTCAAAGGGAAAATATGCAATTTCTATAAGACTCTAATGACACAAGCTTTTTC